AATTTAAGAAAATATTTTTTCATACAAAATGAACACAGTTTCTTGTAGGAATACTCAGTTTCCTAAAGGGACAATTTCATGTAACTACAGTTGGTCAAATGGAATAAAATGTTATTAATTTTGTATGAAAAAGAAATTTTTATTAATTTTGACCAACTTCTGCCGGCTCTATTTTTTCTTATAATACAATAAAATGATCCTTACATGAAACTAAGGACCGTGTTCCAGAACTCTACTCAATGCTCAAGTCAGGACTTGAGCAGACTTGAGTATGATTTCAAGCACTGGAAATACGACCATAATGGCAAGGACTTGAGTATGATTTTCAGTGCTTTAAATCATACTCAAGTCCTGACTTGAGCATTGTTTAAAGCACTCGAAATCATACTCAAGTCCCTGTCATTACGGTCGTATTTCCAGTGCTTGAAATCATACTTAGATCCTGACTTGAGCATTGAGTAGAGTTCTGGAATACGACACTTAGGGTCGTATTGCAGTCTATCAGCGTCAGGAAAAAATGTCAATTTTATTTATTGTGTATGAAAAACATATTGTTAAATTTGACTAATTTCAGCTGTCCCAACTTTACAATGAATTGATTATGTCTTACAAGAAATTGAGTCGCTTAGCACTATTAGCAGTAAAAAATATTATAATAATCATTTTTGTTCATTTTCATGTATGCCAAAATTGTTTTCACAAAAAAAGACTAATGTTTCATACGACAGCAATATGACAGTTTCCCTGCATCCTCTACTTAGCTCCTCTATAGTTTCGTATTTCCCCATGTTGTCCCAGTTTAAAAAAACATACTGTATACCATCAGCAAAGCGCAGCAGTTTGGTACTTAATGAGATTGAGATGTGTGTGTTCGCTATATGTACCCAATTGCTTTGTGGTGTGAGTGAACATTTTACTTACCCTGCAAGTATTCCTCTAGCTCTACAAAGTTTTTCAAGACCATCGTAAAATTTTGCCATAACAGGTGGAATCATTGTGAATTGATATTTGTTTTTTCGTATGTATGAAATTAAAATATTTTCCAGTAAAATTCCTTCCGTAATTTTGTTTAATAGAATTTGAATATCAAACAGACAAGAACACATCAAGCTTGACACTTCGAACCGTTTTTATCGTAAGCTTCATAGAGTTGCATTTATAACTTAGTTTGAAGTTTGACGTGCTCTTGACCTTGACTAGCCCATTGTATACTCGATGGACTAGCTTTATTAAGGTGGTTTTTTACCGGTGAGGCGACGGGAGACGAGGATTGAAATTTGTATGACAAAATTTCAATTCTCGCCTAGCCCATCTTCGGTGGAAATGGTCTGGATTGATGAGGATGGGCGAGGCGAAAATTGAAATATTTGTTGATGTAATATTGAACCGTATTGCTGCCCAAATAGAATATTATATTCTGCAACGGAAACACGATTTCTCGCGAGTGCCCGCAAGGTCTCACGCGAGCAATAGCTATTAATACAATCGCGAGATTGTGGTATAAGTACGATTTCCGATTTAAAAAAGATGGTTTCATCTGATTCTTCTTCTGTTAACATATTTAATAATTTTCGGGACATGTACTGTACTCCAGTCGCGTATTTATCGCTAGATGAACTAAACAGTACTGAATCTTCACCATCCACAATAATAGCGCGAGATCGCGATGACTTGCGCGAGCTATTGATGGCAATTTTTGGTGGAAATAAGCCGGCGAGATTTCTCTTCTCGCATCGCCTCGTCTCGTCTCGCCTCGCCGGTGGAAAACTTCCATTAGACTAGCAAGTGGAATGTTCTTATCGTTGTCATGTCACGATTTGAGCACCATGGTCGGTAGAGAATAAAAAATATTCTCGACTGTAGAGGGAGACGATTCTCGACGCTCACGTTTTGTCTCATGTTGTAAACGTCACTTGGCAAGAACAATAATTATCTCGTGATAATGGGTGTTTCTAAATTCAATCAACTGGTTTTTATCGCGAAATAAGTGTGAAAACCATGGCGCCGACACCACGTTGTTTGTCGCGAATACCCCAGTAATCAATATGCTCCCAGAATATAGCCCATGTTTATTAAAATGTGTTAAATAGTGTAAGAGTCTAATATTCTAATATATACATTTTTATAATTATTATTTGTGATCGATAGTGGCAAAATTATTTCCCAGTCTGGGTAGATAAAGTTGCTTTATGAAAAAAAAAAGCTTTCGTCTCATCTCATGACACTCGCAAGTACAGCAATTTGTATGAAAACCAAGCATGCCACATTTTTGTACCCACTATGATGTCACAAGAACTATTTAGTGATGGAAACCTCCTTCCGCTCGCTCTAAATAGATTGATTGAAGTGCTAGAACGGCTACTCTGGGATAAACTCACCGAGTATATAACCTGAAATAGAGGCGAAATGTCATTTAATTTGTTTGAAAACTATTCGGCCATATCATTACTGTGACAACTGCGCTCCGATTGGCCAGCCCGAGTTCGAAACAATTGACGGGCGTCGTCAGTGGGTGTCGTCAACTATTTCACTTGAAATCGACCGGTTAACTTGAGCTTTGCTATAGTGGACGACAATTGCAAAATTACATATTTAATATTTAATTACCTATGAAATGTGATTCCGTTTGTTTTGTAATTAGATGTTTTGCTGTTTTTCCCACACCACCGAATTGAACAGCACGGCATTGTTAGAGATATTATCTTTATTACAATAAATGCAGAATATTTTTTGGAATGTACGGAGACGTACACACAGGTCAATAATTGGCCTGTCTATATTTCAGTGCAAACGAGAGTTGATATTTATAAGAGCTGTATCGCTCTAATGTGTTACCAGGAATATATGCCCCTTAATTCGTCTCTATTTCTGGTTATATACTCGATGGATAAACTAGATTACCTTCGTCCTCGAAAGCAACGAACTCATACGTATGACCATCTCCAGGTTTTTGTAAAGATAGCGCACGGTTAATTCTTTGCTTTATATATTTTTTGTATTACTCGTACTACATATGCGGCGATATATGTAATTATTTGCTCAATATATTCGGACATTCGAGGCAACGTGCTGCAAAAATTATTGAAATTACAGATACTACTGATAATAGATGCTACAAAACTGAAAAAAAAACGAAACGTTACTAAACGTTATAACAAAAACCCTTTTGTTAGAATATTTTTATAGTATTGCTAAGGTCATAATAATTTTCGTCCCTTTGTTTTCAAAATAGATCAGAATCGAGAACAGTGCTGCCTAACGTATACATCTCTAAATGTTGTCTATGAATAATGCAATGTACAGCAAGGACATCTGAAATTTATTTTTTAAGTACGCTATTAAGCCTTTATGGCACCCTGTCATAGTCGGAGCGCCATCCGTAGCAACTGATATAATATTTTTCAAGGGAATCTCTTTCTCATCACAAGACTTTTCTAATGTATTGAATATGGTTTCGCCTTTTGTGTCGGTCTCTAAATTTCTAGTAAACAATAGTTCTTCGCATATTTGCTCATCTTTAATAAACCTCACGTAAGACAGCAACAATGCTTCATTAGTTGGTAAAGTGGACTCATCGAGCTGAATTGAGAATTGACTAGTCCTCAGACGATTGCACAACGATTCTTCAATATTTTCAGTCATTTCATCAATTCGTCTTTACACAGAATTATTACTCAAAGGAATTTTTCGGATAATGTCTGCGCCCGGTTTATGAAGCACACTAGTTATTACTTCCTTTATTGCTGGCAAAATTAACTCTTCTCCGATGTTGTGTGGTTTGCCTTTTTGAGCAATTAACAAAGAGATATTATATACATATATAAGAGGTACGAAGCTCAAAGTCCGTCGTCATCTTGCTTAGCAACCGCCGAAAAGAGTTTTGCTACACTTGGCTGAGTATTATGCTTCTTCTCTAGGTCTTGAAAATATGCTACATTCTTGTCTTTCTTATCTGGACGCATTTTATTCAAATGATCTTGCTGTCTTGAAGGCTTCATTGCTTTATTTGAAAATGTTTTTAGACATAGAAGGCACAAAGGCGACGATGAGTTTGTGGGATTTTCAATGAATACGAATTTAATATGTTCCACATAGTATTGCCGTCTCTTCTTTTTTACTTCTGACTTTTTTTGTTTTGAGAAATATGTAAGTAAGTGTTGAATTTAAGTACTGATTATCTATTACGCGCGAAACCGCAAATGAAAATAAAATAAATATTATGTTGTTTATATAGGAGTGCATAAGCAGCACGCACCGACAGGAATAAGACAAACATGCATAAACCCGTTTATCTCATTCGACGCTCAATCGTACTCAACAAGTAAGAACAAGTATTCTATGAACCAGCCGATTGATACAGGAATGCATAAATCGGGTTATTTAACAAAAACTTGTTAAAACATGATTGCCCGCGGTCTATTATCTACGAAAATTACCTATCTAGGAATACTAATAACTATTAAAATGCGAAACTGTATCTGTTGCCTCTTTATTTGTTTGTTTGTGTCTACTTTCATTTCGAAACGGAGCTACCGATTGACATGATTTTTATTTTATTTATTCAATAAAACAGGACAGATATATAAACTACACGGAGAGAAATATCGAACCGAGTTAGTTTGAGCAATCTCTTAATGTTTACAAGTTGTAGTCGAGAGTCGATTGCTCAGTCGGTGTCTTCCTAGATGAAATTACAAATCTCCCCCTAAGCCTCTACACAACGCCCCCATTTTTATTTTGGGTCTCTTACCGCCCCCCTTTAGGCCTGCAGCGCCCACAAGGGCGCGTTATCGCCCACTTTGGGAAAGGCTGAAATTATATGTCTGTGGTTCACACGTTCTCTAATATTTTGACTGAGTACCTTATATCCATGGTCATGAAATAAATTTAAAAAAAATCTTCGAAATGTCAAAATCGTCAAATCGAATGTCAAATTCACGTCAAATTCGTGAAATTACTTCATGTGAACGGACGCTGATTGAAAAAAAATTACAAATAATTGTTCTATTTGCCTAAAACTCCTTTGAAATGAGCGACAACGAAAAAGAGGAAGCTGCTAATTTGGTGTGTATTTATTCAAGATTATTGAATTGTTATAACGATTGTTTTGTGAGACGTTGTTTTACTGGAGGTCGTCGATTATTTTATATTGTTATTCATATCGCGTCAATTGTTTCAGAAAGAGGAGTTTGAATGGGTATTACGTGAAGAGGTTCACGCTATTTTACACCAGTTGCATTCTGTGTTGGTCGTAAGCAATTTCCATGTCTAATATTGTTTTTATCTATTCCGAGGACGTGCATTCGATCTTCCGCTAAAGAGCAGTCACACTGTTTAAATGGCTACGGTTGTAATAAAACAATTAATAAATATGCCATTAAAATAACGTTTAAGGATTTTTTACCAAGTACTTAGTTTTCATACAGTAACATAGAATTGTTTTATTCCATGGTGTGGGCAGAGTCTTAGATTAAAATCCGATTATAAAATGCTATGTAATAACGAATGTATGTTAGTATTTTTTTTCACTATGTTGCTACAAAAAAGTTTACACTAATAATAGAAATAAATTGTCTGTAGGAGTGTGCTCACAGATTTCCCGTGCCTTTATATGGCAATGAAGGGCAAAAACAAGACAAATTTATCCTGACGTCGCAGCCTGAACAGCTGAAGTGCATAGTTACACTTACAGGCGATAGTATTACACATGCTGTAAGTATAAAAGGACTTAAAATAGAAAATAAATTCTTAAGGTTATTGTAGTTGAAAGTCATGCTTCTTACTTCACTAAATTGGTTTGATAAATAGAATTGATAGGAAATGTCATCAAATTGCTATTGTATTTCATAGTATGCACGGAAATAGAATAACTACAATAGCAAGTAAGTTACATAAGTAGGTTTGCGTTTATTTACTTACATACATGGACTGTTAAATTTATTGAGGCCATATTTTATTAGTTTAATCAGTCACTTATCTTAGAGACCATGGTGTCCTTAAAGATTTTGGTACTATAGCATCAGAGAGCACATTAGGGACCTAGTGTACTATGTCTCTAATGTGCATGTGTGTTCTCATCCATCATCTAAAAAAAATTAGTGTCTCTCTGGGACAAGTGAAGAATTAAGGTAATTTAACATATTAGAATTATGTAAATGTGGCTTCTTCAGGACATAAGTTTCAAAGTGTTAAGGCAAATGCATACTATTTGCCGTACCTCTATCAATCAAGATGGCCCATGGAAGCTTCAGCAGATCCAAGATGCAGCGAACCACCTGCAGCAGGCTATTGGTTACATTGACAATGTGGATAAACATTATGTATTCAGGTATTTTTGTTTTGATGTCTAATTTTCATTCTTTGCCCACTTAGTCTGTAACTAGTCCATCACCATTCCTGATATTTCTGGCTGTTCTCTGATTTGTATACTATAATACTACTAGATAATGTTCATATATGACACAGTGTACAACATGAATCTTCTCTAAGAAAAAACAAAACGAGTTTAAAGAATACTACAAAATTAGAATTAATTCAAATAATAATAAAATTTCAATTTGCAGATCATCAGAGGAGGTTTTGCACATAATTCAGTGCCTGATTGGATCATTGCAACGAGCTCGAACTGCTTTAGTATTGCCTAAAAAAAAAGCAATAGATGAACTTATGAAAAGTAGGAATATGGTAAGAGTCAATATGTTAAGTGTTGTTAATTTAGTATCTTGCATGAAATGCAATTTGCTTTCGCCCATTAATTGCAAATTGACCCCACTAGTTTTTGTAAGCTGATACAAATCAAAAGAACGCAGTTGGTGTACTTATTTCACATTATAAAATCCTATGGCAAATTCCTACTTACCACCTTACCTCCTTCATTCTAGTAGTCCCCTTGAAGCTTTACTTAGTCCAGGTTACAGTTTATCTTGCAGCAGGCTGTTGGTTACAATTGTAAAATTATGTTTCAGAAAGCACTGTCACCAAATCTGCCTGAAGATTTAGCAATATCATTCTACATCCAGTCCCACAAGTTGATATTCGTGGCATACCAGCTAAGTTCAGTCCATGGCATGATGAGGATCGACTCGTGCCAGGCTGATTGTGCTGTACCTTGGTTGAGTGATGTGTTGTTTATGTTGTCAGCCGCCCTGCATATGTGCCAGCAACTAAAAGACAAGGTAACTTATTAATAGACTTAACACTTTTGTCTTTTTCATGGTGTTTTGAAAGATTATATTTCTACTCAAACACAAAATGTGTTATCATAGGTAAACAAAATGCACATATTTTTGTTTAGTTTAGGGCCGCTTTATAGATTGTAAGACTTCCATGTTTATTCACTAAATGACTATCAGTAGTCACAGGTTTGTTACCATGAGACGATTTTTTATTATTTTCCTGATATTTCTGAATTGTTACATGGTCCATGGTCACAAGTAAAACCTACAAAAATGGGTCAAAAAGAAACAGGAAAATAAAAAGAAACTATACTGTGTTAAGAAACCTGTAATTATTGATAATTATTCAGGGCTGTTCTACTGTTCTACGACTAATTTACTTGTAGCAATAAGCTTATAAAAATACATTTTGTACATTTGCTTCCACCACGCTATTGATTGCTAAGTAAGCAGGAAATGATGACCTATTAAAATACATTCTTAAACCGTTTTGAAATCAGGTTAATTCAAAGCTCACAAACAGAAACCACTTGAGACACAAACATGCCAAGAGTATCGTGACGTACTTGATGTGCTTCCAGCTGACTGATAAGAATCCATGAATCATTTCTGCCATGATTAATGATGCATGATTCTGTATCAATATCTAGAAGTAAATCAAGAATTTAACTATGCTTTTCTTTACTTCTACTATTCATGCATGGTGATGTTATATGAATCCACACATATTTTTAAGTTTTTCATTAAAAATATAGGTATAGAATCCAAGAATACCGAATATGTATAGCGTTGGGTAATTTGCTGAAAAATTTCGAATAGTAGAAATTTTTCAGGAAATATTTCTGAAAAACTGGAAAAATACAATTCGAAGACTCGTGTTATGTTATGCGTTTAGATATATCTTGTGATGAATTATAAAGTAAAATTGTATAAACATTGCTAAATGTAATTTTCTAAACCATGCTTGGCTTATTTTCACAAATTCTCATAAATACAGTTCATTCACAGATTACTTCATTCAGTATCTTCAACTTTTGACAAGTGTCACTGTCAAATGTGGAAAATATTCAAAAATATTTTTTTTTTCTGAAAAGTATGATTTTGTAAAAATGGAATTTTTTCTATGACCCACCACTACCCTGTATAATGTTGTGACGATAATAACTTTTAACATGCGAAGATTTAGGAGACTTCGTATGTTAAAAGTTGTGACTGTGCGAAGTCTCCTAAATGACTGACTGGTGCAGGTGAATTCAGTATAAATAATAAATATCAGTGTATATAGACTATTAGCGGTTCAATAGTATCATGTTATCTTTTTTGTTATCTTAATATGAGGACCATATTAGTTCTTGATAACATTTCGTTAATTGTGAAGTATTCATATAGAGATCAATGACGACATGGTTTATTACTGCAATAAGGATTATGCAATTAAAATTTGTTGCCTTTGTAATCTCCCAGTGGATGATTCTATACGAGAGTCATGCCAAAAGAAATTAGATTTTCAAAAAGTTATTCTTTATTACAGGTATTGATTTTGTCAAAGTATTCACCTTAAATACATGTACACTTTTCCATTCGTCTAAACCACTTGGAAAATATCGATGACCACTCTTCTTTAGACATCTCAAAAATCTCCAAATTGTAAGCAGCCAAGGCACATTCTTTGCTTTCAAATCGCTTGCCTTTTAATTTTTGGAAAGAGGTAAAAATCAGAAGGTGGAAGGCCGATGAGGCAGGATAGATACATTTTTTGAACGAAAATAGTCAAGTGTTCTAGTAGAAGTGTGGAGCGGCGTTGTCGTGATACCAGAGGAGGTGCGGGATTCCTGACTTTGGCTGCTTGTCAACTAAGCTGACAACATTTTTGGGGCACAAACTGTTAAATATCATTCGGAGTTAACTGTCCTTTGATCCTGTAGCACTACAGTAGCAATGTGTCCCGTCATGCAGAGAAATGAGGCGACCATTTGTTTCTGTGCGCTTCGTGTACGTTTCGTTGGCGTCGGCTCATCTTCAAAGCACCATACAGTGGACTGTCGCTTTGTTTCAGGATCATAGTTATATAACCATGTTTCGTCATCTAACAGTATATCATAAACGTTTTTTTTCTCACCAGCGTCGAATTTATCTATCATAAATTTGCACCATACCACGCGACGTTCTTTCTGCTCATCGTTAAGTTTGTGCGGAACCCATCTCGAACAACACTTATGGAGAGACAGGTGTCCGTGAATAATTGTTTGCAACGCTGCTGATACAATGCCCAGTTCTGGCTCAAGCTCTGCATATGTGGTTCGTCAGTTTTACGAATTACTTTTTAGATAGCTTGAACGTTTTCTTAAGCCACTGCGGTTGGCGGCCGATCTGACTTCGCCTCATCTTCAAAGCTTCCCCGTCCTCTTTTAAATTCAGTAAACCAATTGAAAACTGTAGTTCGTGAACAAGCAGTATCCTAAAGTTGTGGCTAAAAGTTAAAAAAAACATTTTTCTGATTTAAACCTTTTTTGTCATAATAAATCATGACACGAAAATCACGTCGCGAGAGCTCCATCGTTGCCATCGAGTATATAATCAGAAATAGAGACGAAATGTCATTTAATTTCTTTGAAAACTATTCTGCCATATCTTTTTTGTCATTGCATTACTGTGACATCTGCATTGGTCAGCCTGAATTCGAAACAATTGACGGGTGTCATCCATTGTTTCACTTCGAATCTACCAGTAACTTGTAAGAGTGTACCTTAACGGATCCTGACAAGGGTTGGTATCTAAAAAATGTACATAATTTGTACTATTTAGTACCTCTATTTTAAAAATTTATACCTCCATCAGAACGAAGTTATAGCAATTTCAAAGGTTTTGAAATTGACAGTCAATACGGCGGGTGTACCTCGGATTACCAGTATTTATGTAATAACTATAAAAACTTCTTATTCCAAAAATTTGTACCTTAATAGTACTCTGAAGTAAAGGAAACTCCAGCTCGATCTGCTGGTTAGTTTCTGAGAAATAAGACAAAATATGTTGATATTTCAGAGTGCTGTGTGCATCTTAACGAATTCTAACATATTTGGTACCAAAAAAATGTTCCGAAATTGTACTATTTAGTATTTTAGTAGTATTATTCTTAAAGAATTTGTACCTCCATCATAACGAAGTTAAATATATATTGTACTTTTTTTTATAATACCTAGTGACAAGACGAACAAGTCATGCGCCTGGTGGTAAGCGACACGCCTATCCTTAACAGTTGCAGTGCCACTCAGAGCTTTAAATCGCAAAGATCTTAGGGGCACTGTTCCTCACGCTGAGACATAAGTTGACAAGTCCCTCGTGCCTGTAATTTCATTAAGTGTAAGTTTGCTAGGTCTTAGCGAGATCAAAAGTAAAAGAACTAGAAGTTTTTACTTACTCTACTTTCATAGTAGCATTGTCATGTTTTTCAAGAAACCTTTACATAATCTAGTTCGACAGATTAAAAATAACGTCGTTTAGTGATATAATGATAATCTAAATATCTGTTTATTTTCTAGCTCTGCGTGTTCTCTCAATACAAAGACTTCACAGTGGGATCAAGATCTGCCTCGATGGTATTAAATTAACCTGTTATCTACGTATTTAACATAACGAAATATGTACCTTGTACGTATGCGTATTTATATTATTTGTAATTATCGAGTCCATTGTTGATATTCTTGTTGAGTATGTTGTAATGTAATATATTAACTTATTTAGGTAAATATTAAGGGGATGTTGGTATAAGAGTTGAGATAAAAACGTAAAATATACTTCAAGTTTACTTTTCGTCTTTTGATACCACTGTCCAAAGCAAGCTATGTAAATTTTATGGCGGCTTAAATAAATATATACATAAGAAACTGATACCTGAGTTTGTCACTAATGAACAGAGGTTGGAATAGGCAGAAGATTTTTAGTTCAAAATTAACTTACAAGTAGGTAACATACATAGAGTTCGTAATACGTCCCTCTCACATCTCAGAATTATTGTATTTTGTTTTTATAGGCAATTACTTACTACGATAATGTAATCGTTTTGTAATTGTAAGTAAAAATATAACTATTTGGTTTTTATTTATGCATTTTCTTTTAAATTGACTGTGGTCGAGTGGTTTGCATATCGGTATTCACGGTGTCGCCATCTCCGAGGTTCCGGGTTCGATCCGCGGTCGGATCAATGTAGAAACTAACTTTTCTATTGTGTCGGATCTGGGTGTTTGTGGCACCGTCGTTGTTTCCGAATTCCATTACACAAGTGCTTTAGTTATTTTGGGATCAGAGCAGCGTATGTGATGTTGTCTAATCCCAGGATTTTAGAGGAAGGTATTATCCACTCCATATGTATTACTTGCTCTGCTTATTTGGATGGCTACTGATGAATAATAACTGCCTCATTTATTTGAAATTTATTGACGGGAGTACATGAGCTTAAAATACAATGTTAGATTTTTGAAAAGCCATATTATTCTCCAAACGATCTCGGACTGCCAGTCTTTTGGCGGATTAAAAAAAACATTTATTTTTGTATGATACCAATGCCGGGACATGCTTGCTCTTATTACTTGTGTAATTTAAATTGTAAATAAATAGAAGTCGAAATTTCCAAAAGTTGCTATTTGAATTCTTTTTAAAAATGGCCCCATTAAATGCTTTAGAAGACAGGAAGACAGAGAAAAACAAAACACGTTTATAATCCTAAAATTACTTTTAATTTTTTTTTTATCTGAGTTCGTGCCATGGAAAAGTTTGTCTCAACTCTTAGACTATAAACAGCAATAGAGAGCCTAGTTCAATTTAATTTTTATTCTATTGTGGTGCTTACAGCTATATTCGGTGTGATTTAAGTTACATAATTTCCCCAGTTTTATTTCAACCAATTTCAACCAATGTATTAGTAAGAATAACCTCTGTAAATAAAAACAGCATTATGTAAACCATACGCTGAGTACACAAAGAACTGTAAAATAAATTAAATTTGAACGTTATGTCATTGTTAATATTTTAGCGTATGACTCATGTACAAGTGATACATTTTTGAATCGATACGTTCGTATTGCTTGAAGATGTACTTCGATGCCTTACTGTCTCAAACTCCTATCTTATTATCCTATTGTGGGGCGCACTAGAAGTTTCCGGAATGAAAAAATACTAAATGGTCAGAAATGAATTTATTGTTTCTTAAAATACTCTCCGTTAGCGTTAATGCACTTTTTCATAAGAATGAACCAATTTTGAAAACATTTATGCCACTCCTCCGTGACTATCTCTGAAACATATTTTTCATACTATTCGACAGCCTCTTCAGGTGATGAAAATCGTTGACCGCGTAACTGGTTCTTAATTTTTGGAAATAAATAAAAGTCACAAGGTGCCAGGTCGGGACTGTACGCGGGATGGCTCATAAAGTCAACGTTCACCTTCAAAAATTCATCCGGCAAACAAATGGTCGTGTCGCAATCACTATTCACGGTACAACGAGTCTCCAAAGCAACGGTAGCCACGTGACCAGTTTTATTAAAAAAAAAAGAAGCAATCATCCGCTTAAAGGCGCTTTGCACGCGCGCAACTTTGGTTGGTTTCGGCTCATATCGAAAGACCCATATGCTAGATTGCTGCTTTGTTTTGGGATCGTGACTATAAATCCATGTTTCGTCATCAGTTACTATGTTCCACACCATATTCGACGCCCCCTTCGTTGAATCTGGTAAGTATGGCATTGCACTAAGTGACGCGATCCGTTTTTTGAGCCACAGTCAAATTGTGTGGGATCTGGGACTGAGAGCACAGCTTTTTCACACCCAAATGTTTGTGTAGTATTTGACTCATGCCTATGCCTAAAGATGCCCGAATTTCATGGTATGTACATGCCTGTCTGTTTTGATCATACGGCGCACAGCATCGATGTTTTTGTTGTTCACAGCAGTGGACAGGCGACCATCACGAAATTCGTCACTGAGATTCACACTATAAATAGTTTGAAGCCGACGAAGCTTCGGTGAGCTGTTAAATTACACTTGAAAATCATAGAAAATCATATTACGAAAATTTTCACGAGTTAAATCCATGGTGATGTAGACAACCAATTTCTAAAATGGCTTCACAATGTAAAAACTAGTGACAGTCAGATGAAACAAACTGTATTGTACAGCCAAAGAGTTCAATTTTCAACGGTGTAATTACTTTTTAAATATTGTTTATGTAAGTGGCCAGTTCCGGAAACTTATAGTGCGCCCTATGCGAAGAGTGATTATGCAGGAGATCACAAAACTATTTATTTATTTTAAATTTCTTTTTTTGGATGCATTACTTTAGGGTATTACGAATGTTTAAATACCAGTGTGTGAATATGAAGGATATGTGATGTGAAATCAGCCTGCAAAATTTGTATAATACAATCCATTTTTTGCATGTCAGTAACTTTGTGCTTTAAGGGGCAAGTTTGAGAAAGTGAAGCGACGATTTGCGACTTTATAAATAACGACTGAGTACCAAATACGTGTTCCGTAACGTATCTAAATGGAAATTTGTACAAGAGTCCTTATTGTATGTAATATACCCTGGTTTGGTTGTACAGCAAAAGCTTTCTGAAGATAGTTCAACTTATAAGTATTTATTTCTAACCGACTTAAAAAAATGAGGAGGATTCCAATTCGACTGTAATTTTTGTGCATGTGACGCGAATACTCAGACATTTTGGAAAGACACCTCTAATGATGTGATTTCAATAAATCTTGGCGTATATAATATATAATTCGAATGAGAATGAAATGTTATGGTGACCTAGAGCTAATCAGGTGATGGAAATTGCAGCCAGACTAGAGATCTCCTCAACAGTGTAGAGCAGCTACCTTGTGTTGGGTTTCATATGATTAGTTTTGAACTTTTGAATTCGGTATCTTTTAATTATAAGAAAAAGTTATAGTTATGTACTATCAGATAGATCTGATGACAGTAGATATATGTAACCAGGAGCAATAACGCTTCGATTTTATTTTAAAGTATTTAGGGATGTATTTATACATTAATATAAGTTCATTATAGTTATAAATTAACTGTAATAAATTATTTTATAACGGAATTCGTGTTACCTGTGACATCTAAAATGCGTAAATGTGTAGTCAATCAGTAATAACAATGTAGTAACAATGATATACAGGAGAAAAAACATTTACTTGCCAAGCAGTAATGTGAGCATTGCTGCGTTCTGGTTTAAAAGAGTAAGGGTGCTGGTGAAACATTTAACTGGAATTAGAACAACTACAGTTTAAACTGCAAATGTACATTGATAAAATTATAAAAAATATACAAGGTTATTTATAGAATACTTACAATTTCGCAGGACTGTGTTACCTGTAACTTTAGTTCTATGACTTGTTATAAATCTATAAATTTACCAAAAATAAACTTTATAGTTTTTCTTGTGCTATCTGATAGATTCTGTCTGATTAGATCTGTATCTGGTAGTAAAACAGTAAGTCCAAACGTGCAGGCGTCCTTTGATACCGCAGAGAGTCATCACCGTTTACAGCGATCTATTTTATATAAACCCCGTTTACCCGTTACCCGTTTCTGCCGCCAAGCAGTAATGTAAATTACTGCGTTTCAGGTTTAAAAGGGTAAGGGTGCTGGCGAAATTGCAGGCACATGGGAGTTTTCAACTTATGTCTCAGGGTGATGGGCGCAGTGGCAGTACGCCTCAGATCTTTACGATTTAAAACTTTCGAGTGACACTGTAACTGTTATGGACAGGCGTGTTCCTTACCAACAGGCGCACGACTTACTTACTTGTGATATACGACCTGTGTATCACAAAGAAATAAATGATTTGATTTGATTTGACTTGTTCGTCCCATCACTTACTACCATAAAAACTAAAAAAAAATATCTGGTCTGTGAGCTGTTAGTCGACATACTGAAATCTTTTAGGCTTATTTTCAGCTGACGTTTCATTGCGTTTAAATACCAACAAAAAGTAGTTGTTTTTATCAACTACACTATTATCTGTCATAAACTAGGGAATTCTCTGTACTATGAGTACCAGAGCAATGGAATTCACTCCGAGGCACTATCCAGAACACCCAGATCAGAAACAAATTAGAAAAAATGTGCGTTATTGTCGCCTACCACCAGGCGCACGACTTGTTCGCCCCGCCACTTAGTTTTATATAAAAAAAAAATAAAGTACAATTTTACGAATTATTTAAAGTCATGGAACAAAAGTTTTTGTCTAAAATGTGAGTAATATAGACCTGCGAGATTGTTAGTATTTTCCACAGGATTGATGATGAAATATGAATAAACTTAACATATAACATAGGATGTAATCATTAATTGTGCCCAGGCGATTATTTCATAAATACAAGAGTTATCAAACATCTTGAAATTGATATAAAAAGTGCGTTATCTAATAAGTTAAACATCATCAATAACTTTTTTAAATAACACTTTCCAAAATATTAACTTTAAACGCTCTCATACTTTTAGTATGATATCCGATATATTTTAGATAATTTACCTACTTTAACAGGTAATGAAACTGCTATAAATAAAGTAATAAAACTATCTTTTAACTGAATAAAAACAAAGGGGCAATGTGTACGCTTCTGTAATAAGATTCCGATTGATATTCAAAATTTGCCATTCACGAAGTTTAAAACCATGGTGAAACAAAAACTTTATGAACAGCTGCGTACATGCAGTACAAAAATCCGTGGTTATTTTTAAGTAAGTACAAAATTTTGTATTCAAAGCTGTACTAAACTAAAGCCTCTTTATGAATGTCATATTAAATTTATCGAAGCGTTTAACGTTAGAATTTTGGATACTTTTAATTTAATCATTTCATTTACCTAACGTAACGTACTTTCGATATCCCTTTAAAGATTTTTGATATCTCTTATACATATGTACGGAATAATCGCCTAGGCACCTTAACGACTACACCGTGTATATGAACAAATTTAGATAAATCTGATAAAGCTAGTCTTAAAGAGTCTCCATTGAGTTCAGTGTGGTGAATAGAGCAGAGTGAAAATTTGATAAATATTAGTAAGACGCCTTAAGAAGAGAAAACTGCGTTTTGTTTTGATTTTTGGTCCTGTGTTTTAAATGACGTTCCAAGCGCCGCTTAATTTTTGGCGCAGTCATTTGTTAGAGTGAATATCTGATTGTAAGCGTGAGACCAAACGAGCGCAATCTTTTAAGTTGTTTTTTTTTTGAGTCGCTTAATTTAAGCTGCATTCAGTTTTATAAGAAAATGCGGTTTGAGCCTCAGGACAGCGCAATATGAGTCGTCTGCCGACTCACCGCACAATTATGACCGTATTTCGGTGGCAATACGTGACGTGCTTATGCAGGGAAGAGGTGGGTGATGGAAACAATTATGAAGCCTCATTTTAATCTTTCCGAATTGAGGCGATGCCTCCAGCTTCTTTTTGTTTATCTAACATCATCTAATGCTACGTAAACTATTTTTAATGGATCCATTACACAACATGACATAAACACTAACGCTTAAGATCAACTGAATAAAATACGTTCATCTGGCGCCCCAACCGAAATTCAGCCGAACGTAAACTACGAGACAAAAAACACGACACAACTTACAACGCTCGTCTGGCCTCACCCTATGAAAAGTTGAAATTACGCGGCGGGAAACTAGCCGCTGTGGCGCTTCATCAATTTATATACCACGAACAGACTGTGTAGAACGATGTTAGTATAGTCTCAGGTCAGAGAAATATTTATTTTTGTCATTTCGTAAAGCAATCTTTAAAACGTTAGTATAAAATGGTATAATTGCCATATTAGATAGTGTAACAATAATAAATAAAACAACGGAATTGGAAAATTAATGTTAAAATGTATTTTTATGCACCATAAGCTAATACGTATTGTTGACGCACTTATGTAGGTATCGAATAATAATTCTCTATTTAATATGCATTATCACTTTTATTGTATCATTAATCGAAATTATTTAAGCAGAAATATCCCGTAGGACTTTATTTGTTTTTTTTAGTTTATTTATTTATTTATACAGGTAACAAAAAGATTTATTTGCATATGGAATCGTATCTAATCAAAAGAATATAAATATATAATCGAAATCTAATAGAAAGCGCATTTAAATTGGTTAATATTCCATATTAGATAGAACTAAGTTGAAGTGGAGGGATGATGTTAAAAAAACGAATATCCATCTACTGATCAAATGTATTTATTTGACATGTTGGACAATAAATTATAATACTTATAGCTAGTATTATTATTATTTAAGTAGTCTGAATGCTATTTAAACTTAACAATTCATGTGATTGTGTTGTATTCCAATAAATTAAAACGCTGTTATGATTTTTTTTAGTTTTATTATCAGTCTACCCAGTAATGTAGTATTATTATTGTTAGAGTGGCTTCAATTGGGACTTATGCGGTCTCTCATCACTGCGGCCATTGACTGATCTATTGTGATCACCGCTAATCACAGTTCGGAGCCAAGGCCAACAGCTTTAAAGATATGACGGATTTTCCTGGCTATGACAGTTTTTTTATCTTCTGGGTGTGACTGTGCCTACCCAGAATGGAACTTCGTACGCCTATTAGGGGGCAGCACTGAGTGAGGAGATGCCAAAGAAGATGCACAGGAGTTTCATCCGCCTCGTGGCAGATAACAGAGAATGTAGATTCAGCGCATTGTGGCTTGAATAAGCTCATGTGTACGATATGTGCTAGTTCAAGCCCTGTTACGGCTCTAGTCAGCGTTCTCATGCCATTCCTGTCAAGAGACTGCTTCCCTACAGTGTTTGGCACTGTAGGTAGCTAGATATCAGGGCTTTTGAATGCTCAAGACCTTTAGTCTACAGCAGCACGTCTCAGGTCGACGTATGTGCTCTCGTTCAGCAGAGTGAGCTTTGCCCGGCTGTGTGCTATCCCTACAAAGGGCTTAGGACCAATGAAGGCCTCCCTAGGACCTTTGCCAGTTCATCTGTAATGTAATGTAATAGCAGCTACTTCAAATCTATAGCTATGTATGAGAACGTTTATACGGAACTGTATTCACGGTTTATTCAATTTGTTTGGGCAGCGTTTGAAAAAATTCCTCAAATCTTCTCGCCATCCATGCCATAAAGTTTGGAAACAAAGATTTTCTATTAGTGCGTTCTACCCGTTATAACACAGAACCGAGACGGGGACACTCACGATACGGCTAGTCCACCAGTTAAAATTACTCAGCGAGCTATGCTCAAAGTTTCTCTGAACGATAAGATACGAAATAAGGTTATTGCCATAGCTGCAAGCTAAGCAAGCTGCAATGGCAATGGGCTGGCCATATTCGTCGAAGAACCGATGACCTGGGGTAAACGAGTTCTTGAGAGGAGACCTCGGCTCGGTAAACGTATCGTAAGACCCTTTACCGTAACGCCCTTTAGCCAGATGGACAGACGATCTACGAAAGTCTGCTGGCAACACGTGGTTGCTACAAGCTGAGGGCCGGACGAAATGGCGCACACATTGGGAGAGGTCTATGTCCAGCAATGGATAGCGATAGGCTGATGATTATGAATGAACGTATTCACGGTTGTTCTGCTCGGTATACAGTAATAATTGTAAGTTACGCGGCGGGGAAGAATATGGGGTGAGGATTATGTCATGGCAGACTGCAATGTTGCCGTGTTTAGGCGTAAAGTAGACGACCGTTTTCTTAGCGGTCACCGATTTGTGTCCGACAACTTTACTGTTATCATAAGGTCATAATGACATAAATAAATGATCATAAATGACAACTTATCATTTTAGTTTTACGATTTTATGAATTTTTAACTCTTTATTCTAGTACGCCAAATCATTAAAAAAAAGTAAGAATTTGATTTGACGTTGGTTGATCAAATGTCAAGATTGTCAAGTGTTAACATCTTTCTACGTTTTTTTGTTATTATTTATTTAGTGTAAATTGTAGTTTTGCGCGAAAGTTCATAAACACAAAGAGGATATACAGCGATGAAAGTATTAAAGTGGTTTGGCCTTATTTCGATTATTGTATTAGGGTTATGTGGCTTCGGGACATACTTAACAATTTTTACATTTTTGGTATCGTTTCTCTTAGGGTAAGCTATGCATTTATCATAATAATAATAATACGCCCATTTCTTCTTCAATGTTTTAAGATTTAAAAATTCGAATTTTCCTTTGCAGAGTTGCAACGTTGCTGTATTTGAATTTTGACAGCAAAAATATATTTCCTGTTGATTTAGACACACTGAATGACCCTTTGCAGGAATCAAACTTTTCTGTGCAATCTCCCAAGGTAAGGATATGTTGAGTATGCTAGTGTACCAGCAACTTTATAAAGTTATACATTATAGCATAGAAGATTCACTTCAATTAGAGTGATATTTCTTTTCTTATTATACCATAATCATGTACATGTACATGATTATGTTATAATTGGAAATGGCCCTTTAGTAGTACAGGCCCATTTCCACAGTTGAAATTCACAGCGATTGTTACAATTAGCATAATTTTGCATATCATCCCTTAACAAACAACACCACTAAATAATTTCGAGTAATCTTAAAGGAGAGTGGAAAAACTGCTTATATTATTGCATACAAGATTTTTAAAGCTAGTGTTAGTAATAGGTGCTGTAATTAAATTTATAGACATAATTCATAGCTATAATTTATAGATGAACAATATTTGTATCCATGTTGGTTGGTAATTTTTATAGATATTCATGGTTTATTTTGACTTAATTGAGTGATGTTCAAAAGGAAAAACCGCTAATTTATGACTTAAAGTGGTGTTGTTTGCTAAAGGACAATATGCACCTTAATGTATGTAAGGAAAGCCTGTTGTAGTTTATTCTGTGGCTGAGCTAGCGCTTTATCACTGACTCATCTATTGTGATTACCACTAATTACAACTTTGAGTCAAAATGTGTTTGTGTTTTTAAAAAGGACTGTAGAATTTCATGATGGCATTTATCTTAATCCATCATGCGTCCTAGAGGCACATGGTGTCCCTAAGGACTTTGGCACTGTCGCATCCTAGAGGTAATGCGCAGCTTTGTTTTTAACAGACTTTGAAAAAATTTTGAAATTCATAAAATTTTTTTAATTTTTTTACCAAATCTTTAGGGACGAGTCTGTAAGGAAACATAACAGTTTAATCTCTTGAAGCTGGGGCATATTTGCTCAGACCTTGTGTTTGACTTGACCTTGTAGCCAAACCATAATCTAAAAAAGTATTTAATTTTAAAATCATTTCAAAACTCCGTAAAATTGCAAGAAGCACAATTGTGTCAGTATAACGCCAAATGAGCATATTTTATACATATATAAAAGCAGCATATTTTTAACATTTCAGATATTAGAATTATTCCAAAAAGAACAAAAACTACACAAATTTGACAGCAGAATCACGGGTAGTGAAACAGTTGATTCATTTCTTAATGAAATTATAACAATAATCATCAGTGATTATGTCACTAATTGGTATGAGATACTTACCAGTGATGAAGAGTTTGCAACACATGCTGTTAAACAAGTGGTGCTGGCAGCTGGTGCTAATATAGCTAATAGGTGAGACTTTCATGTTACGACATCCTGTTGTGGAGACCACAGACTAGGAAGGATTAAAAGCTGCTTGCAAAGTAGGTTACATTGGAAGCATCAAAGATAGTTCATTGATGAACTAAGAACAATTAGGGTGCCTTCAAATTAGACACTTATAGAAGCACTGCAGTGGCAGTACTGTGGCGCTGCAACTAATACGATTTTTAGAAGCGCAGTTATGGCGCCACTGTCGTGACACGCGCGTACCACTTTCATACAATATTAATAAGCACAATTGCAGCGCCACTGCAGCGCTTCTACAAACGTCTAATTTGAAAACTTAATCCATTCTAAAAAATTAACATAAATTTAAAGAATATGTAAAATTTATTTTAAGTAGTGTAAAGTTGAATTTAAATCTTACGTGTAAAGAAAGATGTACCAGAACCCATAGTTTGAGATTTATTTTATTTTAAAATATTTTACCTTCAACTTTCTATTTATTATTATTATTTTTATGAAAAGAGACTTCGGCAATTCAACTAAAACATTCTCACTCTATTTAACTAAGCTTATAGGCAAATAGAGTAGAATTGCTTATTTCATATTATCAATATCACTATATTCCAATTTAAAATACAGTGTCAAATGATAACATGATATAAAACAAAATAGTATTATAACTTCTAGAATACTGTTGTATTATCTGGTGTAAAAGTAAAAAAATAAATAAACACGAAATTACTCAAAGTATTTTCTGTTGCTTCAATTATTATTATAATTGCATTATTTTACAGAATTAAAAGTGTAGATTGGATATATCTTTTTTCAACAAGATTTCCTGAAGAATTGACAATGCATCTCAAACTTTTCAAGCAGTCTAGAGTTAGGTTGAAACATATACATTTAGTAAGCGCTAAGGATGTAGCCAATGGTACATCTAGGTCTAGCCCAAAGCGGCAGGAGGAAAAGAAGACACATAGAAGAAACAAAAGTGATACAGATTTGTCATGGCCACCAGGTAAATCCTTTTACAACTCTTAATCATAGCAATCCAAACATTTAAACTAATCAATAATAATAATATTTACACAAATGAATTGGTCAGTGTATATTATATACAATGCTCAAAATATCTGTATATCAACCTTATTTTAAATAATTCTAATGATATTTTAATGTAATAAAGTTTTATTATAATGTGTTATTTTAAATAAATAACTTGATAACAACTGAAAAATCATTGACATACATTGATTTTTTCGAATGTGGAGACGACTTTTAGCGTCGAAAATAATTTGTTATGTAATTATTATTAAAATGGTTTATTTAGGGCCTGTGCTGCCTTTCATCGCTGCTACCAACAATTGATCTTTTGTTTATTAATACTTACTCTGTTTCTTCGAAAACCTTTCGACTTTTATTGTACAGATTTTGTTTCATTGGTCCGAAAATGCGTTACGATATTATTACACAATTTAATGTTACACTATTTTAACACATTGACAAGTTATTCGTTTCCCCATTATGACTTTCCCTAGTCTTATTTCCCCATCATTCTATTCGAAAATTTGTTTTTTTACAACATTGTTAGTATGCGTACTCAGACGCAAAATGAACAGAATTAAATGGCTGTAGATGTGTGTGTTCTTCTGATTAATATGAACTAAATTAAAATATGGGTGGTGTCATTTTAGCCACAATAATGTGGACAGTTTAAGAGGCTCTTTTTTTAAATAATATTTACTTAAAGAAAATTGTTAAAAGAGTCAAGATCCATAAAGTCTGAATGACTATGATGGTTAAAACTACAAGAAACTAACACCTTTTACTTTCTTTCAGATACACAATCTTATGGGAAATCAAAATTTTATGGCAGCTCAGAAAATTTGGAAGGAAAATCGTTGAAAGATTTGTTTTTTGATTTGGAGTGTTCCATAGAGAATAAACAAATATGTCGTGATATTTTTTGTGAGGATCCAGAGAAGGAATATGGTAAGTTGAATTACTACAATATTGCATGTATGACTCCAGTGATTGAACCGTTGTAGAAATTTTTTAAGAGAGAGTGAATGATTTAACAGCTACTGTGACATTTTAAATTGTAATGCATTGATATAGAACAATATTGCGAATATATTGTAATAAACAAGTTGTACAGACGGCCTTGTTACTAACCAACAATAAGACTGAGGTATCTTAAATTGATTATTATGAAATCATTGCTAAAGACTACATTCCTATGCCAACCAAACACGAGGTGGCCTGATGATCTGGTGAAGATTGCGGGAATCCGCTGGATGCAAGCAGTACACATTGATATGATGATGATGATTATGATGACATTGCTATGGACATGTTTGAGTTTCACTTCTTACAGTTACCTTCTTAACCCTTTCATGCATAGTACTGTAATTATACTGCACACCAAAATGTCACTACTTTCCTCTATGCCGTAGTGCTTCTTCGTAATCTAATCTTTTAATTTTGTTAGTATGTTGTTGAAACTTCTCCATTTAGAAATAGGCGGCAACTATAAAGAAAGCGCTTGGAATTCGCACTGTACAGTCTGTAGTTGGGTTTTCAAGATCCATGTAACAATCGGGATACCCTGTACTGTCATTGTGCGAATATTTCATTTTACGGCCAACGACGTGCACAAAACGGTTAATAAATAACAATATGAGACAGTTCTGTATGAATTGTTTTGATGATGAATGAAATTAATGGTTACATTTACTCACTTAATGGATAGATTCATAGATCTGTGTGTTGATCCCAGTGGGACAAATTGACTTGACTTCCTTCTTCTTCATATATTGCTTTAATAAATGGAAAATCAACAGCATTCTCACAATCATATATCGCCAAGTAACGGGACGAGCAACTAATACGCCTGGTGGTAAGTACGCCTAAGTCCTTCCATAACAGTTGCAGTGCCACGCAAAGCATTAAATCACAAAGATCTGTAAGGCACTGCTACTGCGCCCGTCACACTGAGCCAATGAGTTGACAAGTCCCGTGTACCTGTAATGTCACCAGCACCCCTTACCCTTCAAAACGGAAACGCAGTAATGCGCACATTTCTGCTTGTGGCAGAAATAGGGAAGGTGGCAGTAGTTCCCTGGACGAACTCTTTCAAAAGGAGCTCTACTGCTACTGCTACTAAAGATAATCCATGTAAGATAATTATAAACACAAATAGTTATTTATAAACCTCTCCATGTAGTATACAAAATAGATATAAAATTTGGTAAAATTAGTACAGTATCTTAAAGTAGGATTGCTTCAATAAAGACATTTTATTCATTATTATTCCAGCTCTTCTCTGCGAAGTGTCCGAAGCTGTACTGTACTTAGTCGCGCCAGAGGAAGTATGGAAGTGTCATGCTGAAAAAATTTTACTCATAGAGCTGTTGTCTTCAGTTGTATTACGACCCTTGTTGGCTTTATTGAGCGACCCTGATAATGTTAATAGAGCAATTATTAGGATTGTAAGTGGATTTTTTGATAACAATGTTGTTTCTTTTTGAGTATTAATATATAAGGACCATAACCGTGGCCGAACAGTTACTGCCACGCAGAGGTCCCAGGTTCGATTCCCGGGCCGGGAGAAATATTTGTATGGCCTACATTTATTTCTCTCGTGAGTTTCGGTGTAATTAGTGGTTTTCTATGTGTGTCCATGGCACCCGCGACACAGGGTTTCCCTAGTGCGGGGCTATGTTGAATGTATGCGTTGAAAATAAATAGGCCTTATAGAGAAACAAGTGATACAATAATTTATGTATGTAAAGAAACAAAATACTACTTAACCCTGGTCCCATTTACCACATGAACTTGCAATTTTGACAAAAAATTGTTGGATACTTAACTTGCACCACGTCGTAATTTAAATAATTGCTTTTGGTTAAAATCCCTACGATATAACAAGTCAATTTTTACGTTTAAATTTATTAACGGTTAATAAATACATTCTGGCGTTACTTCGTGGAAATACATGTCAATAAAAATATATTTTTATTTACTACTCCGCGAACATGGTGAAAGTGAAATTGTGCAAACAGCTGCGTTTGGGCTGAATTTTTTTTTCATGCAGTTAATTTTATAGATTTAGGTATATTTTTAGTAGTGCTGTTTGTGACTTAAGTTGCGCTTGTGTTTTTTTATTTTATTAATTTTATGCAGAGGGAGAGTGGGAAAAATAACTAACTGTGTGAAAAAACTTCAATGCAAGCTCGGCCATTTTGCAAGATTTTACTCTCACGGGGTGTGCGGGGAGGTCAAAGTAATTTACTTGCAATTTTATTTATTAATAGTGTTGTCGCGACTCTACTCTGCCGTCCGAGTTGTTCCTAACTGTCATCAGATGTTGCGTGGACGCAGAGGAACTTGATGCGACGTTAGAATTAGTTCAAAAGGATATACAGAAGTTGGTAAGTCATTAACACCGAATTGTCCCCGTTTTACATCGAATAAACCCCATTCAAGCGATTCACGTCAACTGTTTGCGCAACTAATTTACGCACATAGTTTGCAATTACGTATGTATCAGTGACGACCTGTCCATAGAACTCGATTCCCACCGGCTTGCCTAAAATTTTCCACGTAGCATCGAATATCAGTAATATATCATAATATCATAAATATTTTAAAGTAATGCTTAATTTTAAGTGTAGAATAAGTAACTAGCGAAACAAAGTGTACTAGTATCTTGATAAGTTTGTTAAGGCAAGTGTTCTTTGTTTTGCTCCGGTTTTAAAGACAATTTTCACGCCTCGCTGCTGGTATGTATACTTTATTAGTGTTCGATATGTATGTATGTTTTTAATATTCTTATTATAAAATATTCTTTGGTTCCAATCCCTTTGCATCTTCTAATTTTCTATCCTACGGTTGTCTAGGAGAAATTGCTGAACAAAAATAAACAATAGCAAATTGCGACACCTGTTGTTCATTACCTCATTTGAATATAGTTACTATTACTACTCCGTGTTTTTACTATAGCTACTCCCGGCTACATTTTGTTTTATATATTTTTGTAATATTTAATAAGGTTTACCAAGTAAATACATACAGATACGTTAAATATAAAAACAAACCATTTTAAGCTAGTACTATGCATGCATTTAAATTAAAGGTATGCACAGCATTACACAAAAAGATATTTTCTTTGGAAGCACGAGAGTGACCAGGCTGTCCATAAATGTGTAGACTTTCTTTACTAAAATTTCAATCGAATTTGCATTTAACAATTTCATATCTACGAATAGCAAAAAACAGAGAAAATCAGGTAAACAAAGCACCGAGCTAAAGACAGTCAACTTCACTAGTAAAATATTTTTGAACGACATACCAAAGCTGTGATATTTATCACTAAAAATATCCGATTCGCAATTTTGAAAAATACATTGATTCCTCTCATAATGGAGCAAAGCGGAGATAATTGGATAATTGGATTTTCTCAGTTCAATTGCAAAGCTGACATTTTAGGTATTAATTGTTTAAGTTGTTTTCTTAGTAATAATAAACTGAAATTACATCAACAGCACTCCAAAGACAGCGCGGGCGAATGGGAACTGTCGGATCGACAAAAACTGTCGTCATTACAATATTTGTCACGAATCCTTCAAGCGAGGAGAGCGACTCTAGGCCCACAGGAAGGTAGTTGGAAACATTTTTTTATAGTTACTATTTTTTTATATTTTATAATACTCACGTGATACTAAGATATGCACACTACATTCACTTCACAATGTTTTTGCTTTTGATGCACCGCAACGCGCTACCCTCGAAGGTGGTGGCTGAAAATCAGTGCTTTGTTTTTGGGCAGATTTTGTATTGCTATTTGGCTTGTTTTAGCACACACAAGCTATTGATCATTAGTATTATGTTTATTTTTTATTTATTGCTGCTTGTTTTTATTTTCTTTAATTTTGATTTCTGTGTGTCTCTTAATCAATTCACTGTGTTATATTGTTGTGTGTGTGATGCAAGACAATAAACGTTTTTATCTATCTGTCTCAACATAAATTTTTAAACTACAAAGCTAAGAAGCCTGATAACCAGAAAACGGTTTTTTAAATGTTATTTTTAAATAACAGGGCTGTCAACTAGTACCAACACTGAGAAAATATCAGATGAAGTGTCCCGAACTTTAAAATTCCTAAGAGCAACAGCAGCCTGGAGATCAAATGCGCAATATTTGCTTGAAATCGATTTGAATGGAGCTGGTAAGTGCTACGAGAGAGACGACTGTGTTTTTTATGATTATAAGTGCGCTCGGTGGTAAGCGATACGCATCGCAAAGATCTGAGGGGCAGTGCCATTGCGCCTTCGCCTTGACATATAAAGAAGACAAGTGCTTGAAAATCGGAAAGCAATAAAGCTCACATTACTTGGCGGCAGAAATGATACAATACCGTTGTACGAACAAAATAACAGGCCCTGTGCTCTCGTTCTGTCTGACATCCGTCTGAAACAACAACTGTTAAATACCACATTCGATCAAATTAAAATACGCATGATGCGAATGAAGTTGCATACCTGACGTCGCCTCAGGAAATTTACCACGAAATACGAAGCAACGATCGTAATTTAACATAAGTGTGTGTGTGTGTGTATGTATTGTGTGTATGATACTAATAGCAGAATAAAATAATAACATACTAGTAGCAGTAGAGCTACTTGTGAAAGAGTTCATCCAGAGACGTACTCACACCTTACATATTTCTGCCGCCGAGCAGTAATGTGAGCAATGAGCATTATTGCGTTCCGGATTTGAATGGTACAGGTACAGGCACTTGGTACTTTTAAAAGTTTGCTAGGAAAGTGGTCTCCCACTATTCATTATAAAGCTATATAAACTCTTAAAGCTCTCAGATAATTCAGGACAAGACAGAAATTTCTCGCAAGCCTTTTAGTTTATTACTCGAAAATGTTAAATAATATACACTTTTTACAGACTCACCCAACACCTCAAAAGCAGACCTAGACACCCTTCGTTCGTCGGCCTTGGAACTATGCGACATGTACCTAGCACCGAATAAGCCTGTGATTCTCGGTATAGCGGAGAACTGCCACGCCGACCTCGTGAGGAAGATCACTACTGAAGGCGAAGAGTTCACAAGCAACCCCGTCATTTGCTTCGATGATTTGCAGAAATGCGTCTGCGATGCATTGGAGGTAAAATAATCTCTTATATTACAACCTGTGACACGATTTTTGTCACAGGTGTTTGTTATCATTATCATTTTCTAATTGGTTTTAATATAAAAATATATGAAACCACTTTATTTCCCTGCAAAAATTTTGCTTTTGTGGTCAGGACAACGAACAGTTCAAATTTGCGTATCATTCAGAAAACGCACTGTAAAAGGTGTACGAAGCGAGGGAGGGTGAAGAAAGACACCTGACTTTCCAAATGCAATTTAGGCGTTTGTCCACGTAGGTGTAAGATCGCGTAATCGCACTTATCCTCGATGTCATCTCACCGTCTCACGAGGTGGAAGTGGCGGCCGGTGATCATGATAAGGAACGTCGATTACACGGAAGAAAAAAAACGATGGAAGTGCCTTAGGCCTCGATTACTATCAGAACCGATGACGCCAAAACTCACACATTCTTAATATCAAACATTACAAAATCTTGATATTGATTGGTCGTAGTTTCAAATTTAAAAAGTAATAACTAAATCTGGATTGTTAATATAATTTAAACTTTACCCTGTTGGCATATTAAAAGTTCAATACCATCAATACCTATTATTACAAGTTACGACGTTTTGATATTAAATTAAATTTCAATAAATTTAAATTACTTCAATTTCGATAAATTTTAATCAATGTGCTTCTATCTAGCGGTTAATTTCTGAACCACGACGAATTGTGGTTTTTTAATTTAGTTCTCCAAACAAGAAGCGACCATATTGCAAGGGTATAGCTTTACTTTCGTTTCTGTAACAAAAAAATATTTCGATAAATAGAAAATTGAAAATTTATTAAAATAAGACTCCGATGATATGAAATATCACCACGGATAATATTTTGATCCCAACGTCATCTAGCGGCAAGGCGAGGTTATTAAATAGTTTCGTGTTAAAATATTAATTTGTTGGGTTATGGTGTTAGGGCGCGTTCCCACTATGTCATCACATTTTATTATCGTTGGACGACTGTCGTGTCTAGCCTGTTCCCATATCACGACTATCTGTCGTAGACGATTTTTATCGTTGAACGGCTGTCGTGACTAGCTGTTCCCACTAGATCGTGACGGCAATTTATCGTTTCACGACAGCCTCCTTGTCGTTTGCACGACAGAATCCTTTGATGCACTGCAGTCGCAGCATTGGATGCTACTAAAAAGAATTCCATTAGGGTTATGTCACACGGTATACGAAGTTGCTTTCTTTTCGGTATTGTCAAAACCTGCTACGACCAGAGATGGGCAGTGGGTTAAAATCCAATCAACCCGCCCGTATTTTCACCAGGGTTTTACCCGAAGCGCCGAGTTTTAACCCATTTCTGTCCAAAATCGTGGACAGAAACGAAGAGCACAGAATTTGATATAATTCCAACACTGACAACATAATATACAAGAACTTGCAACAAATTTCTATATTTTTATTATACGAAGAAGAGGCATCTCCACATAATACTCACCACCTGTCAATCCTGTGGATTCTCAATAAAGATCGATTCAAGTGCATACGATCTAACGATTTTTTGTATCAATTTATTGATGCACTTTTCAAGCGAATCTATTCAATAGAAAGGTAAATAGAACTGTCCTGATAATAAAGCAACAAATATTTTGTAATCTTATGTATAATTAAATTTGAACAAAACTCAATTCACCACAAATATTTAGACGGTAATAGTTTCTGCCCCCGATTTCGGGTTTTAACCCGATTCAAACACGGCGTTACCAAAGCTGTGGGTTAAAACCCGGCCGCTTGACCATCTCTGGCTACGACCCAACGCTACTGCAAAGCGAGCAGAGGGCGCGGGATACGAGACGGGAGGGTAGGGAGCAGAATACGTGCGGACAGCGATAAATAAAACGTGACGACAATAGGAGCTGCGACAATCTGTCGTCACGTTTTTATCGTGAGGTTTTTTTATCGTCTGACGACTGTCGTTCTAGCTGTTCCCACTGTGACGACAGTTTGTCGTTGTAACGATAAGAAATCGTGAACGACAGTTAATCGTGTCGTGCTATATGAAATTGTTCAATTTCATTTAAATATACAAGCCACGACACTGTAAACTGCACGACAATCTGTCGTCACGACATAGTGGGAACGTGCCCTTACAGTACAAATTTTCGGGTTTCTCTAAGACGAAAAGGAAACATTATATTTAAAATCTTTAATATATATCAAACAAAATACTGTAAATTGATAACTGTTAAATAAAAGCCTAAGAAACTTTAAACAATTATTTTTTTATTAGTTTAGTAAAAATTGCCATTACACATAGAATTATTCTGGAAGAGAGAGAAATGGCCGCCGGTGTTGACCACAATAGAAATTACCGGTGTTGCCATATTGACACTTAAAATATTTACCATTTTATGCAAAATAATATTACTATATAAATGTGATTTTGAACTTTTATGTTCTGCATTGAACAATGACTAAGAACGTAGAATGTGTAGACTTGCGAGATTATGTAAATACCACTAGATACCTAAGTAAATAAGCAGCTATGTAAATACCATTGTGACTGCCACAAAAGCAAAGTTTCAGTTACTCTTTTCTACATACTTGCTGCTCCCTTAATCAGAAATCGAGAAGCAAAATCTTTTTGAAAATTTGTTACATCGTTATTTTCGTTATTGTACTGTAGAAGGTATTATAATTTTATGACAATAATATCGTGGTCGACGATGATAATAATACGTAGAGAGAATAATAAACAAAAAAAAAATCAGGTGAAGGTAAAACATACCGAAAATAATTGTAGTAGAACGGAAACACTTTTTTTTACAGGACGATCCTACGTGGCAAGCAGACTTCATGATGGACAGTGAGCAAGAATGTTCAGACAGAAGCAACAGGTAATTTCGACTTATGACAACCACAAATTATGTTAATTTTCTATGTTAATTGGGTCTAGTTTAATTTAAACAAATTTTTGGTTACAGTGACTTAAAAAAAGAAGAGAAATCTGAGAAAAAGTACAGTGGTAAGTCTTGTAAAACTCCAATTAAAAATTGTACTTTATTATTACGAAAAGAAACCGTTATTTTGTTTGGTATGTGACCTTCATTTAGTTTACAAGGAGCCTCCTTCTGTGTGCAGTGAAACTAATTCAACCAATGATAAGACATTCCTGCAAAGAACTGAAACCTGATTGACCAATCACCTTGCCAGAGTTTGCTGGGTCATGATTGGTCAATTGCGTTATTCTCCCGCACGTAGACAAAACCATGGCTAAGCTATACAATTTTTTGTGAAGCGATATAAAATCCTAAAATCCCCAGATAAATGCAAGAAAATAATGAAATCGTGTCTTCTATTACCGAAGCTGTTTATGAAGTCCAAATACCGTTACGAGTTCCCTAGCAAGTCGTCCACCTTTCCTCGCACGTTCCGAAGACAACCATGTACTAACAAGAACCACACACTACCTAAATGCAAAACCTGTGGTATTCAATCCTTAACAATGTAGATTTTTGAAACAGTAACAACTAGTCGAAGTTTTATGAAAGTGAACACTACTGCCATTGACCTATCAACAAATGGACGTCCGGTCTAATATAAAAACCACGAAAAAAATGTCCGAAGTTAACCTATACAAACGTAGTGACATGTAACGAAATATAAAAAACTTAAACATTTAATTTAAACTGTAACGTCATTGCAGTACTGCCTAATTTTGCTTGCAGCAATTTAATGGCCCAAAAACACCATATTCAGCTTTTACTGGAAACTTAACAAAATGCACCATATTTAGCTTCGACTGAAAATTACTTAAACACAACAGTAATGGAGTAGCCTTTATCGTAAATATTAATTAAATTTAATATATATTATTGTGTCGACTTTTGTACAAATTCACTTAAAGAAATAAATAATAAGGAGATATACGCTTTTGAGTAATTTTGATGCTTTTCACAAAGACAAAATTAGCTTTTATCTTGTAATCTTCCTAAAACAATACATTTGACATTATAAAAATTCGAGCTACCGTTATTTCTGGGTAAATGTATTTACTGACTTCTGATAGGTAATCCTAAGTCGTAAAACGAGTACAACAACATTTTGTTACTTAGTGCTAACGTTTTAAAAAAAAAGCATTTAAAAAATAAGATTAAAATCAAAGCGACTGTAGTTTCTTTGCTCTAAATATTTCAATCGCTTGTGGTTCGAACAATTGAAAATGACCAAGATGTTTATATACATATAAGCTTCTTGAAATTGACGCAATGAGTCTCCTTTCATCTTTTGCGCATTCAATGTGTAGAAAAAGGACAGTTAGCTATTTGATTATTTTGTTTGCTTTTGTAATTTATATTTACGATTCATTTATATATAAATGAAATACTATAAAACTGTACAAAATATCACTTTTAAATGAGAACTGTGATAACACAACATATTTCTTTAGTGAAAATATGATACAAAATCCTGTTTTTACACTTCACTGCAGTAATTTTTACAAGTTATTATTATATGGTACTGCATGATTGACAACCACGTTGTCAGTCGAACAAACGAAGACTGTTGCGCGATTGACGCTCTGTATACGATTTTAATGCCCTATAGGAGCGGACAATTTTTAGCGCGAACACGACGTCCGTTTATTGGTAGGTCAATGACTACTACAGTGTGTTTTATTTAAGTGGAAAAGTATGGGGAAATCCGAAACCATAGGAGATACAGGGGAACTGTCGTAAGAACCATTAGGTATTTTTTTGTAAAAATAAATATTTGGCATATTATTTTTTTGTCAAGTTTGAGTTGTTTGTTGAATTTTTTAAATTCTGACCGACGTATGTCCTTGTAGTATTCATTTCATTAAATATCATGATGTCTTTATTACCATGATATATATATTTGTGAAAATGCTACTTTGTTATGATTATTGATACAAAAATCGAACAATGCAAAGAAAAATTCCTTCTAATTGACTGGACTCGAACCAGCGTCTATTAGCACACTGGGGGCCACGGCTTTTACTAACCGACCCCGGTGGGGCAACAGACGCTGGTTCGAATTTTTGCGTTGTTCTTTTTTCGTATTAATAGTAATAACAGGCTTAGTTTCTTCGATCTGACTGGATTCGGACTAGCGTCTGTTGCCACGTCGGGGTCAGTTAGTAAGTGCGGTGGCCCCGGTGTGGCAACAGATTCTGGTTCGAGTCCAGACAAGTAGTTCGATCTTTGCATCAGTGATAATAAAACTTAGTTTCTTGTAAGGATAATTCAGCACCAGCAGGAGTTGGTCAAATTCAATAAAATGTTTCGCCGCCGTGTCCGATTTCCCTGCATTATCCCAGTTAAAAATAACACACTGTATATGTGAAGTATCTACGAGTATTTAAATTCAAACCGAGTATGAATTATCTAGTAATTATTTTTCTTGTTCAACATGATTTACATTTGGTCCACTTCTTAATTTGAAAAATCCTTTTTGTAACAGCACCCTCGCCATTTAAATTTGACTCTAAGTCACTTATGATAACAATCAAAGTTTCAAGGTGTAACGTTGAGTGTGCTGTTGACCACAATTCGTAAGAAAAATTTATAAGTGGTACTATTTGTAGTCTCTACAAGTAGCGCTGAGCATTCTAATTGGTACACCCGTAATAATAAACAAGCACTAAGTGCGTCCTGCGCACTAAGCCCGGTATTAGTATGGACTTCCCGGAGGAGTCTGGGAAGTGCAGGTTCACTAAGGAGAGGCGAACCGGGCCAGGGGGAAACTCAGCAGCCAAAGTCCCCGTATCCTCGGGCAGTAGTGCGATGGCGGTCGGGAGTGAATGCGCAGTAGCCAGCCTAACCAATACGATCTGACCCGTTCCTCTCCAGATTAATCTTGATTGATACGTAATTAAGACTTTGCCCTTCGGCGTCGTAAACGCGCGTCATCTGCGCGTATACGCGCCGCAGATGCGCTGCAGTGAATCGATTCAAACGCGCGCAAACATTGCGTTGCAAACAAAAAGCTTATATACTCCACTGGAGTTTGCGCTTAGAATTTCATGTAGTTGCTTCATTAAAAAAAAAAACTAATTGAAATTAACAAACAAAACTAAAATTTAAACTATCTTTTACCATAATGCCCGATACACACGCGCGACTACAGCGCATATGCGCGCAGAGGGCGCGCGTTTCGGCGCGTCCTCGGCGCGTATAAAATACGCCGTGTGTATAAGCTCTTATGTCGCTCTCGCTAGTGGCGCCCTGACGTGCCAGCCCTACAGATAATTGATGCGGTTGTTTGGCACGTTGTAAAAAATTATTCGTGTCTAATACATTGATGGTGAGGTCTTTTTTAACCCAGTTGTTGACTTATGTCCTTTGCACATCCCAACAAGCACGCAATCGTATGTGTACTAACAAGATTAACAAATTATATGTCGAAGTAATGCTTACTGTGTCTCCCTGACAGGCGACTTCCTGCCCGTGCCCGGTACGGCGAGGCACAGTCGATCTCGTTCCGACATTGTCTGCAACTTTGCCCAAAAGATGATCAATGAAAGCGCAGGTACATATATGTAGTTAATCGACTCAAAGCTTTGATAGATCAAAGTTTACATCTTTTCTTTTATGTTGGTTAACCAATTCATGGCCAGTACTAAATAGTGCTTAAATAGTACACCAAAATTTTACTTTTTTTTGTGCCGTAGTGCGTATTTTTTTTTATAATGTTAAGTGATGGGACGAACAAGTCGTGCGCCTAATGGTAAGCTGACACGCCTGTCCATAACAGTTCCAGTGCCACTCAGAGCTTTAAATCGCGAAGATCTGTGGGGCACTGCTACTGCGCCCGTCATCCTGAGACATAAAGTTGACAAGCCCCATGTGCTTGTAATTTCACCAGCACCGTTACTCTTCTAAACCGGAACGCAGTAATGCTAACAATACTGCTTGGCGGCAGAAATAAGTAAGGTGGCAGCACTATCCTGGACGAACTCTTTCACAAGGAGCTCTACTGCTACTATAATGTATATATAAAATTTGTATTAAAGTTTTTAGAAACGATTTACTTGATTTAGTGCTGCTGCACTGATGTTAAATATTTATTCAATATAATAATTACGCTTTATCACTGAAGACTGATCCTGTCGACATTACATATATAAAGCTACAAGTTCTGTATCACTTAGAAAAATATAACGCATTCTTCCCGATATGATGGAAAAATATGTAGTTATTTGTCATGCAACGCTGCAAACTTGTTGTTTGACTCGAGGGCTTGAATTGAAACCTGTGCAAGTGAAGGGAGCTAGTGCGGCAACGCAAAACAACTTCACACAACTTTTCACCTCACTAACGAGGAATATGGTAGATGAAAGATAAACAGTTGAACTATAACATATCAGTTTTAATAAACAAAATTAGTTAACGTTGTCACTTTAATGTCAACAATAATAAGAATAAAATATACCAACGGATTTCTATTACATAAATAATGTACGACAAATCGCGTAGTTAAATGTGTCATTATGTAAATTTTTTCATCGACAATAATAAAACTCAATAATTATGTAGATAAATATTTTTTGTTTGAGTAGTCAAAGGTTACTTTCGACCGAAATTGCCCAACTTTAATCTAATTTTAAAAAAGTCCATGACCATTGGAAAAATAAAACACTTTTTGTGTCAAAGATCTGATTAAATATTTTCATCTATTCACACATATTTGTGAGGCAGTGGCGAAGGGTCCATTTGACATGACTTTCATGAACTTGCTCAAAGAAATGGTTAATTCAGGTTCAAAAATTAATAACGTACTAATTATCAACGTTTTTGTATTATTGTATTCATCCAGCATACAACTTCCACATGACATGTCATCATTGCAAGTCAGTTTGTTTTGTAAAATTGCCTAACATTTTCTAGTCACCAAATCTGGCTCCTACCGGCTCCCTACGCTCATACAATATACTGTGGTATACTAAAACCCCTGTCTTTTTTACTTCAGTGAAAAAACGCCCATATTTCGTCTTGTTTTTCATTATATAATATTTAATAATTCTTATTTTCACTTATATATCGAGTTTTCCGCTAAGTAATTCTGTAGGTGAGAGGTAAATAACTTTAAGTCCATGTGTTGGAATTTAGA